TTGAATAGATTCCACTTATAGGTGAGATCATATGGTATTTGTCTTTCACCCACTGGCCTATTTCACTCAGCACAATCCATGTTCACCAGTTCCATCCATGCAGTCATGAAAGTTTTTTTTTTTTACTATTATACAATTTTCAAATTTATTGTTGTTCAGTAAATTGAATTATTTATTGTTTTTAGAAGCAAACGATACCCAAATAGTTACTACTCACTATGTTAACAAGACTTTTGTTACCTTTTGGTGTTCATCTATTGTTTTTTAACCTTGCATAAAACTTTGAAACTTACTTAGAAATAAGAAATTTACAGAACTATATTTCAGAAAGCAACTAAGAAAGACTGTTTTTTCAAATTAAGTCAAATATATGAAATATTATTTGGGACAAAATACCAGATGTTATAATTAACCAAATATTCTACTTAAAAATTCCTGAGAAAAAGCAAATATAATATAGTGCTGCTCTTTTAAAGAGGATAATAACTGTATGAGCTATGACCAGTGTGGCTTAGGTGACTGGGCATTATCCCTCAAAGATAAAGGTCTCTCATTCGATTCCCAGTCAGGGAACATGCCTGGGTTTCAGATTTGGTCCCTCATCAGCGAATGCATGAGAGGCAACCAATAGATGTTTCTCTCTCATGGCAAAAAATAAGTAAATAAAATCTTAAAAAAACATAACTATATGCTGTCATTTCGTTGTAGAAACTTAAAAAAATATATAAAGAGTAGATATGCCATGGCTGATGTGGCTCAGTGGATTGAATGCCAACCTGCTAACCAAAGGGTTGCCAGTTTGATTCCCAGTCAGGGCACATGCCTGGGTTGCGGGCCAGGTCCCCAGTTGGGGGCGTGCGAGAGGCAACCACACATTGACATTTCTCTCCCTCTTTTTCTCCCTCCCTTACCCTCTCTAAAAATAAGTAACTAAAATCTTTAAAAATAAAAAAGAGAAGAAATCACCAAAAATAGAAGAATAGGGAACTCCAGTTTCCATACCAAAAATTGTCAGAATCAGCTTTTGCAGAACTCTGGAATTTAATCCAAAACTTATGACCAGGGAAAGATTTGCTGAAAAGAGAAGCTCATGCATTGCAGTAAGATAGTGCTGTGGTGTATCAATGACCAGATCACCATCCTCAACACCGCAGATCAGATGATGAAAGTAGCTAGTACAAGAAGAAGCCTAGAAGAAGCATTCTGGACCTTATTCTTAATTGTGGCTGTGGGTCTCAACCTGTTCGGCAGGTTCTCCTCAAGGACCAACACAAAAGATTTTCTTTGTTTTGCTGACTCCCAAGTGTGAAATGGCTTTTGCTACAGCAGCCTGGGGCAAAGCACGACATTCAAGACAAACAATAACAATGAGAAGACTGGGAGGAAGAGGCCGTGAAAAGAGCTACAGGGGGAAATAAGGGCTTTTTAACATTCACCGATACACTGGGGGATTGAGAAGGCCACACATATACCTAGAATGGGATGCAAGTACTTTAAAGGCCTGAGGAGACCCAAAGCTCTCACCTGTGTGTGACTTTCAGATTCTGCAAGTAGAAAGTGGAAACTAGTGAAGGCTGCAAATGGCCTGGCTAAGCATAGAATGAGTTCTCCAGCACAGACCAATTTGCAAAGACTGGAGAGTTTCTTCTTCCTTCTTCTTCTTTCTTTTTTCTTCTTTTTCTTTGTTTTTAATGACTTCAGGTATTTAAAATAATTGCCAAAACACCAGCTGCCCACTAAGCTAGGGCAACACAAACTTCAGTGGACACACATGATAAAGAATGAAGACTTCATAAAAATAGCTCAGAAAAATCAGTAAACAAACAAAAACAATCCACAACAGCCAGAAACAACGAAATCCTGAGAGGTAAAAATATGATTCCTAGAAGTGCCACATTATAATTTTCAAAATATCTAGTTTCAAAACAAAAAAATATGAGACATGCGAAGAAAGTGTGGCTCATTTGCATGAAAAAAGAAATTAATAAAAACTGTCCCTGAGGAAGCCCAGACAGTGGACATACTAGTCAAAACATTTTTTTTAAATCCTCATCCCAGGGTATGTTTATTGATTTTTTTTTTAGATAGAGAGGAAGGAGGAGAGAGGGGGCAGAGATGGGGGACAGAGAGAGGAGAGAGATAGAGAGAGAGAGGGGGAGAGAGAGAGAGAGAGAACGCATTGATGATATGCACTGAGCTTTTCCCTGACCGTGGATGAACCCACAATCCTTTGGTGTACAAGATGTCACTCCAACCAACTGAGCCACCCAGCCAGGGCTAGTCAAAGACTTTAAATCAACTGTCTTTAATTTGCTCAAAGAGCTAAAGGAAATCATAGACAAAGATCTAAAATAAACCAGAAGAATTATGTTTCATCAGATAGGGAATATCAACAAACAGGAAGAAATTATGAAAATGTACCAACACAAACCTGGAGCTGAAAAGTACCATAGCTGAAATGAAAAATTAAATAGAAGGTTCAACATCAGAAGTGAACAGACAGAAGAAACAGGCAACTTTCAGATAAGTCAACTGAATTTATGAGGTCTGAGGAGTAGAAAGAGAAAACAGAGAGAGAAAATGAGCAGAAAGACTATTTGAAGAAATGATTTGAAGAAATGATGGATAAAACTTTAAAATTTAAGGGAAGTGATGAATATACACATCCAAGGAGCTCAACAAATGTTAAGCAGGATACACTCGCCAAGACACATTATTTTCAAATTGTCAAAACCAAAGGCAAAGAGAGTATCTTGAAGGAAGCATCAGGTATTAGGTCTTATTTGGATCTTTATCTGAACAAACTGTTGAAAAAACTATGAAAGAATCGAAAATTTGAACAAGGATTATACATAAAATGATATTAAGAAATTATTGATTTTAGGTGTGATAATAGTACTGTGGTTTTACATAAAAAGAAAGTCCTTGTAGATATGCATTTTGAAACCTTATGCACAAAATAATATTATGTGTGGAATTTGCTTCAAAAATCATCTCTAAGCGTGGGAAACAGGAAGGGATATAGATAAAATTGAATAATGGGTGATAAGTGCATTTGTTTTCATTATACAGTGGGCTCTCCATATCCATGAGTTCCACATATTCAGATTCAAGCAACCACAGATTGAAAATATTTAAAAAAGTACATTGCTGCTGACATGTACTATGTTATTAGACCTATGATGGCTGCATCTAAACATGTACAGACTTTTTTCTTGCTATTCTAAACAATACAGTATAAACTATTTACATAACACATTGTATTATATAAGTAATCTAGAGATGATTTAAAGTATTTGGGAAGGTAGAGTAGATTACATGCAAATATTATGCCATTTTATATTAGGGATTTAAGCATCTCTGAATTTTTATATCCCTTGGCTTCCTAGAACTGATTCCCCATGGATATCCAGGGAGGACTGTACCATTTTATTTTTAAAATTTTTAAAAATATTTTATTTATTTTTAGAGAGGGTGAAGGGAAGGAGAAAGAGGGAGAGAAAGATCGAAGTGTGAGGAAAAACATCGGTTGTCTCTCATACACCCCACAACTGGGGACCCGGCCAGCAACCCAGGCATGTTCCCCTACTGGTGATCTTTTGTGTAGCAGGCCAGTGCTCAGTCCACAGAGCCACCACACCAGCCAGGGCTGTACCATTTTACTTTTGAAAATGTTTGAAATTTTCCATAATAAAAGTTAATGTAGACTATATAAAGAGAACAAATTTTTAAAGAAAAAATAATAAGACAAAAGACACTTTCTCAGGCCTTCTTTCCCAGAGCCATCTGGGCCCTATAAAGCATGACTGAACTTAATTGGTTTATGAGACTTAAAAAAAATTTTTTATTGTTGTTCAATTACAGTTGTCCCAATTTTTCCATTACTCTCCCCTGCCCTACCCACCCCTCACCTCCCACAATCGCCTCCCCCTCCACTCTCTTTGTCTGTGGGTCCTTTATACATGTTCCTTGACTTCACCCTCCTCTTCTCCCCACCCCGCCCCCTGCCCAACACCCCTCGCTTCACCCCTCTGGTTACTGTCAGTTTTTTCTTTATTTCCACATCTCTGGTTCAATTTTGCTCGTTTGTTTGTTTTGTCGATTATGTGTTTTATGAACCTTTATCCTCAGGATTAGAAAATTACTGTAGGTGCCCTGAAGGTGCAGAGGTTTAGAGAACATGTCAGACCATAGCGACCACCCACCCTTGAACCCAAAGATAACAGTAAAACAAGCTGCAGCCTAACTGAAACATCATGCTACAACCACCCCAAAACCCTATAAAAACTCAAATCCCCAACCCCTCCGTGCTGGTTCTGACGCGTACCTCCACACCTGGCCCTTTCCTTCGCCTGGGAAAGTAAGAATAAAACCTTTACTCTGCACTTTCTTCTCTGTGAATTCTTTCACAGCACCCCCCACCCCGTCAGCAACCACCCTAACAAAAAAGGACCGAAGAAAGGTATTAAGAGTAATTTTGAAAAAAAAATCTATGTTCTTGACTCATTATCTGTCCCCACCCCCATGCATTTTTGTTAAAGAAAATGGTGGGCATTGGTAGGAGAATCAGAAGTTAGGAATGGTTTGGGTAGTGCATATTGCTCATCATATATATTCTTGCATAAGTTTTGTTTTTTTTAACATTGCACTAAAATGTGATTCATCTTCACTACTGAGGTTTTTTGCAATCCTTTAAATTTTACAACTGAGTCCTGGCAGTGGAGGGGTATACACTGAGCACAGGAGGGAAAAGGAAAGTCCACAAAGGAGCAGTGGTAATGACCACCAGGCCCCTCAATAGGAAAGCAGCAAAGAAGTATCCAGGAACACACAAAGGGACAGCGACAGGGCCCATCCTGAGGTGATTAAAAGGGACTCGGGGGCGCGGGCATGGGCTGGTGTCCTGGCCGGTGGCTCTGCGTGACCCCGCGGAGAAGGAGGGGGCGGACCGAGGCGTCACCACTCGCTGTGACGAAGGCCTCACGTGACCGGCCTACACTGACTCGCTCGCGCGCCTCGCTGGAGCGTCAGAGCCCGCGGTCACTCGCACCCTTCCCGTTTCCTGCTGCCACTGGACCTGAGGGCGCGTGGACCAGGGGCGCCTCAAGATTAGACTGCGGAAGGGGAGCAGGTAAGGGCCCCCGGAGCGGCTCCCTGAGGTTGGTGTGGAGAACGAACCTGGGCGGCGGAGCCCTCCGAAGGGTCGCGCTGCAGCCCCCACGCCCCGAGGCGGCCCTGCGTGTGTGCAGAGAATGCTGAGCATTTCCCTGAGGGAGGGTTGGACGGCCCAAGGCGACGACCCTTCACAGACACTTGCCCGCCCCTCCCCCACTTTTCTTGGTGTGGAAAATGGTGGTCAGCGCGGGGGCGGGGCCGGGGGCGGGCGGTGGGTGCCGACCGCTCAGCTGCAGCGGCCCCCGCTCCCTCACCCCGGCCCCTTACAGGTTTGTGGGTCCAAGTGTCGCGGCGGCGCACTCGCGGCGAGAATCCGGACGAGGAGCAGACAGCAAGGATAGGCCCAGGTGGGTGCGGGGGTCGGGGTGAGGACGAGTGGAAAGCTCCGAGACCCCAAGTCCTGACCCCAACCCCCACCCCATCCTCCATTTTGGTGCCTGCAGAAGCCTGGGCTTGGATCTCACGGAAAATGGTGGGTTTCGGTCGAGGGAGGGGAGGGGAGTGAGAGGGGGGAGAGCTGGGGCCGGTGGCCCCCTAGAGGGCGTAGGGAGCCTCTCAGGTGGGAAAAATGCGACTTTAAAAAGCCTTTGAAATCCAGAGCTCTGGGTCGTGAAAGGTGCGTAGTAGGGCCTCTGTCCTCGGTGCTGATCAGTCCAGCAATAAAATAGTCCCTTCTCATCTCTTGTCTCCTAGGAGCAATGGCGTCCAAAGAGGAACAAGCAGTAAAAAATCTCAACATGGAAAATGCTCAAAAGGAAAACATAGGGCACCAGGTCCCTATGCAGAATGGGGAGGAACCACGCCATTTGGCCGGGGGCAAAGCCCAGAAGCCTGGAGGAAATGTCAGACTGGGATGGGTTAGGCGACTTGTCCCTAATTTTAGATGGGCTATATCAAACAAGCGTGCTGATCACAATGAAGTGGGAGATAATGTAGAAAAAATCGCAATGCAGCGGATGGAAATCAGGAGAAAGACTAGGGAGCAGCAAATGAGACATGATAGACGTTTCCAAACTCCTGAACCTGATAATCATTATGACTTTTGCCTCATACCTTGAATCCTAGGGTTTTCCCTGAGGTTAGTAATGTGTCCTGTGCTCTAAAAACTAGTAGTTTGTGATTTACTTTTATGTAAACCTTTTGGTACTATTTCTTACTAATTTTTAATCAAATATTGTTTTGTCTTAGTGTAAAACTCTGTCCAGCAGGGTAATTTCACCCAGATCTTGGAGAAAATAGTCTTTTCATGGTGTGAAATTAATAAAGCAGTTTAAAAACCTATCTTTCTCAACCACTCCATTTTTTTATTTTTTGTTTATATTACCTTTACTCTCTTAACTACCTGGACTCAAAATCTCAATCGACTTTGACTATTTTTCTTGTACCCCACCAATCAGTAAAGATGGGTTCTACTCATAATTTAACAACTGATACCACTTTAAGAATGCACTTTATATTATTTTGCGGAGTGTGAATCTATGATGTGCATAAAAGCATCTTGGTGGGGGAGATTTTTGAGAATGTATGACTCCTGGCTCCTATCCTCCAAACTCACAAAGTCGGGATCAACAATCTCCATTTTTTAGCAAATTCCCCAGTTAATTCTAATGTACAACAAAGTCTGGGGGCATATTGTATGTATGCATGTAGCTATGTGTTGTCATATTAAGAATAAACAAAAATAACATAGCATGAATGCTTATTGGATTCAATGGGCAAAATACATTACAGGGAAAGTATAAGACCTTAAAATAGACATTAATAAAAGTGGTAGAGAAAGTGGCAGATGAGCATACTGGAGTTTAGAGATGCTAAATACCTGTTGGATATCTTGGGAAGGGGGATCTGGCCTGGGCCATGTTGTATAGGACGGTGTCATCTGGAGATACAGAAGACCTGACTTTTGTACTATAAGCTGAGGAAGGTCTAGGAAGACTTAGCAAGACTGAGGTTCTTCAGTCTTCTATATTTTGTTTTTCTATATTCCCAATACATGCACTAATTTTTTTGGAATACAGCAGAAAGACTCTCCAATCCAGTATTCTTCAAAGTGAGGATTGCCACCCATTATCGCTCTTGAAATCAATTTTGTGGGTCATCATAAACAAAAGAACAATAAAAAACATCAGAGTCCATCACTGGTGAATAGTGTTAAGAATAGAGAAATTCGTTTTAGTTTTACATGTAGGAAATAGTGTCACCTTATTAAAGGTATTTTAACAAGTATTTCTAACTAGGTCACAGTAAAAAATTGAAAGTCACTTTTTCAATCCAAGCTTCATTTCACAAGTGAGGAACCTAGGTAAGAAAGTGATTTTCCCAAGGTCATGCAGCCAGTTATTGGTAAAGCTGGGACCGCAATTCCTATTCAAGTGAGTTTGTCTCCTCACCACAGTACCTCCACAAAGCATGATCTGGGAATTCTTCCTGTGTGTACTGCTTGCCAGTGGTGTGTATAAACAAACATTTGCAACTTACATAAAATCATTCTGCATTTAATGATCACACTTTACTCATCAGAGTCCCTGCATGTTCAGTGAGGAAACACATTTAAGGAGGCCTTGATGTCCCTTAACAATGTTTTGGGGCTAGAATGGTCTTTCATCTGTCTAGAAGAAAGGGATGATGGAGAGTCTGATCTGAAAATGCAAGGTGATGAACTTACAGGCATTTCTTAAAGGCTAGGTGATTGAGTGATGTTAATGAATTGGGTTTTGGTCCCTCTGAAAATCAATACTATACCTTCTATGCCAAACCTAGATTTCCTAAGGTAGCCTCAATTAAAAATCTGAGGATATAAGGTGAGATCAGAACTTGACTAGTAAAAGAACTGTAGGAAGCCTCCCAATGTTTTTGGGTGATGGTGAGGATAAGGACAGACTTTCTGGAAGAAGTAGGGGTCAATGTTGGGATGATATAGTCAGAACTTCAAAAAGTGGTAAAGGTCAGAGAACAATATCACGTGATTGGTTGAAGGACAACCAAATTAAGAAACCCCCCCTCCTGGGTGTTTATTTGATGGTGGAGGATGAGTACAGAACTTTCTAGAAGCAGTAAAATTCACATACCATGATCAGAATATAACTGAAGGCAAATTAAAGGAAGCACCCTTTCCTGGGTGTTTCTGCAGGGTGGAGAAGGACAAAATTTTGTAGAAAAAGTAAAAGAGCCAAGTCAGAAGGTGATTGAAGGAGGATTGAATTATCACAGTGAACACTTTCATTAATTTATATATCCCACGGGAGGGAGTATCAACCTTTTCTGATCTTCATGGACAGTACATACAGAGTTTTTAGGGTGATAATAAATGTCACCAGTAATGTTCCTAAAGAGGACTGTAAGAAAATAAAATGAATCTCTTAACAAAAGTAAATCAACCAGGGACAACAAAAGGGAGTAACACGTTTGTCCATATCGGTTATTTATATATTCATGTTTCTAATTATTTTTTTGTTTCTTGAAAACAATGTAGTAAAAAAGAAGAAAACCTTATGGTTTGTGACAACATGGATGGACCTGGAGAGCATTATGCTAAGTGAAATAAGCCAATCAGAGAAAGACAAGTACCATATAATTTCACTCATATGTGGTATCTAATGAACAAAACGAACTAACAAAATACAAACTCAGAAAACAAGCTGACAGCTATCGGGTAGGGTGTTGGGGTGCTGGGTGGGAAGGTGGAGGAATTAAGCAAGAAAAAATCTCATGGACACAGACAACAGTGTGTTGATTGCTGGGGGAGGGGAGTAGAGGAGGTAGAAGAAGGTATGGGGGGGTAAATTGTGATGAAATTTGGGGTGGTGAATACACAATACAGTGTACAGCTGATATGTTGTGAAATTGTGTACCTGAAACTTGTGTAAGTTTGTTAACTAGTGTCACTCCAACAAATTCAATAAGAAGAAAATGTATATAATTTTATAGATTTTGAAACAAGGCTTGGGATAGAAGCATAACAATGAGAAAAGGAGATCTCTGAAAAGAGTCAAACTTTCTGTTGCATGTGTTGTCTTCAAATACAGAAAATGGAGATATCACTGAGGCAGTCTAGAGAGGTCAGCAAGGAAAATAAAATCATCTTAAAATTAAAAAATCAAAAACAAAAATAAACCAAAAATCATGAGAGTAAGGCACCGAAACAAGTTATCACTTACAGTCCTTTCAGCCTGTATCTACATGTAAGCATTATTGAAATATAATTAAAGTTTTAAAAATACCTAAAGCATTCAATTTTATGTTTTACATATATTTAAGCCTATGAAACCACGATCAGAACAGAAACAGTTACATTATTTGAAAAAAATCTATTTGTTCCTGAATGTAATTCATCCCTCTTCCACCCTTAGTCCCTTCCAAACTCTAACCTACTTTCACTATAGCTTGCATTTTATAGTATTTTATATTAATTGAATCATAAAGGGCACACTTTTATTTTTGTCTGGCTTTATTAATTAAAGGTAATGATTTTTCATGTAATAATAGCATATTCTTTTCTACAATATGGTGAAGGTTTATCCACTCATCTGTTCATGGACATTTATAGGTACTTTTTATTTTGGAGCTATTACAAATAAAGCTGATATGTTTGTGTAGACATATGTTTTCATTTCTCTTTGGTAAATACCTAGGAATGGAATGGCTGCATTATATAGAAGTTGTAAGTTTAATTTTTAAGAAACTTGCAAACTGTTTTCCAAGGTGGTTTTACATTTGCATTTCCATGAGTAGAGTACTGGAGTTCTTATTTCCACTCATCCTCACCAACACTTAGAATAGTCAGGGTACTTTTGCAGTATTTTAAAATTTTAACCATTCTAAAGGGAATATAGTGGTATCTTGTAGTTTTAATTTCTATTTCTCTGGTGACTAATGATATTCAGCATCTTTTCATGTGCTCATTAGTCATTCACATATCTTCTTTGTGAAATAATTTGCTCAAATATTTTGCTTATTTTTAAAGTAAGTTGCTTGTCCTCATATTACTGAATTGCAACAGGTCTTTATAAAATATGCATTTGATTGATATATAGGTTGTGAATTTTTTTCTCATTCTTGGCTTGCTTTTTCATTTACTTAATGGTTTCAAGGAACACAAGTTTTAAATTTTTATAAAGTTCATTTAACCCACTTTTTCTTTTATAATTGTATTCTATTTAAGAACTGCGCTGCTTAAGCCAATGTAATGAATCTTCTCCAATATTTTCATATAATATTTTTATATTTTAGACTTTCCATTTTGGCCTATGAACCATTTCAAGTTAATTTTTGCTTAAGATGTGAAGTAAACTCTGGTGTTCATTTTGTTCCATGTTGATATCCAATTAATACAGCACCATTTGTTGAAAATAGTTTTCTTTCTCCATTGTATAGCCTTTGTATTGTATAGCCTTTGTACCTTTCCCAAAAATCAAGTGCTCATACACATGCGGGCTTATTTCTATACCCTCTATTCTGTTCCTTTGATTTATATGTCTCTCTCTTTACCTATATCAAACTGTCTTGATTACTGTAGCTTTATATTAAGTCTTGAAAGTAGGTAGGAAAAGTTCTTTCAACTTTGCTCTTCTCTATTAAAATTACTTTAGGTATTCTAGGTCCTTTGAATTTTCATATAAATTCTACAATCAGCCCATTACCTACTATATTTTTTAAGCCTGCAGGAATTTTCTCAGAAATCTAGACAAATTTGGTGAGAATAGCTGTATTAAGAGCCTCTCAATACATGAGCCTGGTATAACTTCTATTTGTTCAGCTCCTATTAAATTCTTTCAACAATGTTTTATAATTGTCGCTGTGGGGATCTTCGGCATATTCTGTTAGATTTACTCCTAGGTATCTTAAGGATTTTGCTGCTGCTCTAAATGGAATTGGTAAAATTTAATTTCCCAATTGTTTGTTGCTACTATATAAGAATACAACTGATTATTCTATATTAAACTTGTATCCTATGAAATCACTAAATTATTAGTTCCAGTGTAACAGCAAGAAATGCTCTGTCTCTCCCACCCTATTTTATTCCAGCTTGCATTGCTCCCATGGCCTGCAGTCTAATAGCTTCTGCTATAGACATGCTAATCATTTGAAGAATTTCGCCTGTGGCTTGAGTTTTTAAAAAGAGCCACTTGCTGGAAGGTGCCTCTCCCAAGGTGGGGGAAATCTGTACAAAAAGTAATCTTTATGAAAGATTTGCTGGCGCCTCAAGATCAGAGTCAGATCAGTCAGGGTCAGTGGATAAGGAACAAAGAGATTTAGAGATTTTGAGGTCTTCCCTGAACTACTGATGGTTCCCAGATATTTGTGGTTTTCAGACACCACTTGCCCTTCCCATTTTCCCTTCCCTTGATAATAAAAGAAGACGGAACTTTGTGCTTGCTTACTATGGATGTGAGAACCTGCTAGTGCCCCCATCGTCTCTTTTTTGTTCTTTTTATTGAATTTATTGGGGTGACACTAGTTAATAAAATTATATAGGTTTCAGGTGTACAATTCTATAATACATCACTTGTATACTGCATGTGTGTTCACCACCCCAAGTCAAGTTTCCTTTGATCAATATTTATCTCTCCTATACCCTCTTCTACATACCCCAGCTCTCCTTTCTCTCTGGTAATCACTGTACTGTTGTCTGTTTCTGTGAAGTTTTTTTTTCTTAATCCCTTCAC